CGGGGAGGGCGGGGTATAAATTTGACTATAAAATAAACATAAATAAATAAATAGTGCCCTTTTGTATACAGAGTGAGTAGTTGAACCTGGGTCTCCCAGATCCTAATTAGCTACTCTGACCACTATAATGCTGACTCTCTACTGCTCCTCTTGCCAAACAAGGGAGGAGATTTCCGATTGTTACAGTAAACCCAGGCAATCTAGAAGCTTCATATGCATACGCTATCACAGGTGTCAATGTTACACACCATTATTTCTTTGTGTGCTTGAGCACCAACAGCTATGGTGGCTCCCAGCCTCAGAACAGGTCTTCTGTTTCAGCTCACAAAGTCACTGATCCATGTATTCTATCAGCCTTTTGGACAACAGCCCTTCATGCAATATGGCACCCTTGATCAAGAGAATTTCAAAAGCCACGTGTGATGTGGCATGCAATGTGCTCTTCAGGACGGCATCATTTGTCCCACTGGGTGCATGCAACATGAGTTCTTTGAATTGTACAGGAATTGGATCAAAGTCTTCCTGGAGATGGATAATATGAAAATTCATTCAATTTGCACGATCATAGGTAGCAATGTTGTATGCGGTATTATGATGAGACGTTCCCAGGCAGCAGGGCTCTAAGCAATGTTGATGCTTATGCAAAGAGCAAGAAGATATGCAGCCATTTCCTTTCAGTGTAACAAACGCTGCGAGTTCAGAATTCCATCCTACAGAAACACGTTGCCAAGTTAAATACTATTTCCTAATCTTATGACAGAATTACAAAAATAATAATGGGAGAGCAGGTTGCTTAACGTATTCATTAATGCTGATTAAATAATGTAATGTTCTTTTTAAAAGAAAGCTGCTTTCAGCATCAGAAAAGCACACACTGTGCTCGGTAATTGGGGTGATGCCGTTTCTCTTCTGAGCATTTATTGGAAAGTGTTTCATTTAAATTGTTTCTCATCCTAGCTACAGCTTCTGCCAGCACTAAATCCTTTATTCACCAGCTTTGGTTGCTCCCACAGAGGTTTTGCTGCTCTCTGGCATCCAAACTACAGCATTTTCTATTCCTTTTCATGTCATCTACATCACATCATCCATTAAACATCCACTTTCTGGGGTTTCCCATCCTTTGCTGAGTTCTTTCCCCCACCTGTTTGGATATAATCTTTTGGAAAACTTGTGTCGAAGCAACCTTTGCATGCCATGGGAAGGTGTACATTTTTGTACCTGCATCTACACCATTTTTCTTACATACACTGGATGACTTTGGGGGCTTTTTAAAAAATGCCAATTGCTAGATTGGTATACCACAATAACATTATAAAGTTACGGGGCACAGTCCTGGTTCAGTGGTCTATCTGCTCTACAAGCAGACGGTCCCAGATTCAATCACTGACATCTCCAACTAAAAGATCAGATAGCAGGTGATGTGAAACATCCACACTGTACAGCCAATGCAAGTCATAGGCCCCTGCCACACGGAGGAAAACTGATGCGGGCAAAGTGCGGCTTTTGAAAGCCGGACCAAAAGAGACATGCAGCCGTGGGATCACACAGATCCCGTGAGCCGCTGCGCAGTTGCTCCCCAGCACGATCAGATGCCGGGGAGAAAGCCACGGAAGGGAGCACGAGGCCGCCGGCTGCACATGTGTGTGCATGCGCAGTTCGGCTGGGAGCCTCGATTGCTCCTGCAGAAGGCCGCGCCGGCGATCCGACGGCCGCACTTGCTGCGGCGTTTTAGGTAAGTCCTGCTTTTTAGCAGGTTCTTTTTTGCTGCACATTTTCGGTCTGAAGGGCCGGATCAGGGACGGGTGCGCGCTGCTTCCCAGATGTTGCGGTTTGATCGTGCCCATTTGCTGCACCCCCGATCCGTCCCTCTTCTGGCCCTAAACCTCCTGTGTGACCGGGGCCAGAGTAGACAATGCTGACTATGACAGCACATTGGTTTGACTCAATAAAAGGCAATTTTATATGTGTTCAATAATCAGCTGACAAAATCTACTAGTTCCTCTGACTTCCCAGCCTTCTTTTAAAGAAAGCAAGTCTCTAGTTTTTCCTTTGCCAAAAAGGTGAGAGACTTAATATCTAGAATTAGTAAATCATGAAGCACTAGTAGATCATGACAACAGATTTTTATAGCACTATTACATTATAATGATACAGTAATTGCTGATTTTACTTTAAAAAGCACTCAGAAGGTGGTGGGGCTAAAGCAAGGAGAGAGCAGGAGAAACTGCCATGTAGAGGCTCCAATGGCACTAGCTATAAGGAAAGAAGAGTGCAGCATGGGTTCTGATTCACACAGATTTCTAGAGTTCTGAATTCTGCAACACAGCTAAGAGCTGGCAGAAAGAGCAAAGAAGTGGAAGAACACAGCATAAGAGCAGTACTGAGTGTAAGCAGAGACAGTCTAACTATAAACACACCTCCAAATCACATCCTATAACCTGCAAAGTTAAATTATACACATTTTCAGCTGTGTTCCTGTGACAGACTGTCAAGGGTTAATGCCTAGCAGAGTCTAAGAACCTTTGAGTAACAGGCTGCTCCAACGGAATTCTGTTGAGAAAGTCAGTTAAGGAATGACAGTTGGGAACTGACAGTTGAAGAAGATACAGTTAAGCACTGACTGTGGACTGGGAAGGAGGCTAAGAGAGAGTAAGTGAGTGGATCAAGGAGGATCCCCATTCAAGCCAAAAGGGAAAATAGCTTCTAGTAAAGAGAAGTGATCCCTGGTCTGTGCACAAAGAAGTATTTTGGGAACTTGGTTGTATCTTCCTGCCTTCTGAACTCCACATGTCAGTTAAACGCAGAAACCTATGCTTGAGTATTTAAGCAGAAATTGAAAAGAAAGCCTCTCTCCTTATAGTTTTAGAGACCTTGTAGAATAGCAGAAAGACTTACTTGTTGGCAACAAATTGTCCGGTGTTTGTGTGAACACAAAGTTACCTCGGTTTTATTATCAGTTCACCTCATACATCCTACACCTGATTCCACCTGACCCTTTTCTCTAAGTTAAATAAAACATTTTGTTTATTTTGAATTTTCAAAAGCCTCTCATGTGCCATTTCAAAAGCAGAATTTAAGAAGGTGATTTTGTCTCTTCCCTCAATTCCCTGGGCTGGACCAGCATCCATTCATTCATCATACAGTGACTTCATGGGACAGCTATAGACACACAAATATGAAGAAAATAGATAAAGGGGCTGCTCAGCAAGAAAGAAGACAGAAGGGAAAATCCTGAGTGTGAAGGAAGGAAGAGGGTGAGATTGCCATAGTTCCTATGTCTCTTGGTTGTGAAAATGGTCATTCAATGGTGACTGCCTGTAAACTTTGCTGTCTTCATATGCGAGAAAGTTTTCCAGTAGTGAAGAACAGCAAGACTTTGAATCACCTGGAATCTTCATACATGCCATAGCTATAAATTACAATGGTTCTTTTGCAATAAGGTTGAACACAAAATAACTTTTGTTCCTGCCACTGTGCACTGCCTCTTGACATAGCCATGTATAGGGAATCAAGCCGAACTCAGAACAATACAGCTATTGGGTCAAAGTAGCAATCAGTGCCATCCTAAGCAGAGTTTTACCCATCTAAGCCCTGTTGGCTTCAATGAACTAAGAAGGGTGAAGGTCTACTTAGGATGGCATTGTATCTCTGCTTTAAAATAGCTAACCTTGTGAGGAGACCTTATTTATGTATTGATTTAGTCCCCAATGAGGACTAAAGTGACATATCTCATTCTCCTCTCCTCCACTGTATCCTCCCAAGAACCCTGTGAAGTAGGTTAGGCTGAGAGTATAGGACTAGCCCAAGGCCACCCTGTAATTCTTTGGCAGAGTTGGGATTTGAACCTGAGTCTCCCAGATCCTAGTCCCACACTCTAATCACTGCACCACACTGGCTCTCTTACTGTTTTTTTTAAAGTACTCCACGTTTACAGCTGGAAATTTTTGACATGCTCAAAGAAAATACAACTGTTCATAAAGTCAAGCAAATCCACTGTAATGATTCCTTGTTTTACTATGTGTGTGTTCCTTTAAATTTTGGTTGGAGTGCAGTGATAGCAGAGTAGATTGATTGAGGGAGACAAGTGTGCTGTGATTGGTGGATGACAGAGTGTGGGAGAAGTTGCTTGGAATGAATCTCTGTGTGTCTTGAAGTCAGTTATGAAAGTCAGAGAAATCAGTTGGAGTGATTCAGTCAGTTAGTGAGTCTGAGAGAGAGTGAGATGACTCAGTTCTGTGTGGAGATGTAAAGAATTCAAAATATATGTCTTTACAAGTTTAAGTGTGGAAAAGATATGAGAAGGGTCTGTGAGACTCCAAAGTTATAAAAGAGAAATAATACAAAGAGCTTTGCCAGTGTGGCTACCTAGTGAAAGAGTGATTCCTGTCAGAGAGGGGTCTTATGATCAAAAACTTTGTGTGATACCTTGCCAGTTTATTTTACCAGTTTCTCTTCCCCAAAACAGTTACAGTTAACCAGCAACTTATTTTTGTTCCAAAATTCAATACATCATAATTTGTTTGAGTTTAACCCAGAATTCAGTTCAATCCTTCCTCAGGGCCACAGAGACCTCTGAAAAGCCCAGACCCTGGGTCACATTACCAACAACAGCTAATGAGAGAAGATTGGGAATTTGTTTAAATTCCTGGTGGCAGCAGAAACTACCCTGTTTGTGAACACAAAGTATAATTTAAAGTGAAAACCAGTCCTCCCCAAATAAGAGGACGCCACATGCACCAACACCTCAACTGCATAGTTTTTGAATACCAGTCCTGTACATGTTTACACAGAGCGGAGTCTCACTAAATTCAGTGGTGCTCACTCCAAAAGTAAGTCTCCACAGGGCAGCGACCTTAAATCCTCCTCTCCCACAACACCATTGTGCTAAGTCCTAAAATGTTAAACAGCTAATTAGTTCTCGTTTTTAAGTTTAGGCCCCTTTTTAGTACTGTTCTGACCATCAGCCGCATTTCCGACTCCTAACAGGCCGCTGTCCGTACCTTTCTCAGCGACGCTCTCAGGGCGAAATGCTCTTGCGTGTATATTAGGTGGTTTCTGTCGCTGGTGGCTTCGGCGGCGGCGCTGCTGCTGCTCGGCCTGTAAGAGGCACAGCCAGGCAGCGGCCATTTGGCCTGCCCTGCGCGCGCGAGGAGAGCGAGCCAACGCGGAGCCATGCCTGGGCCAGCTACCGAGTACGTCGTGCATGCGCGGCCCCGGGCAAAGGACCTTTGTTCCCTCCCGCCGCGCGCCTTTAAGAGCTGTTATTTTTCCAACGAGGAGCGAATGGTGAAGGCAGCTTGCAACCAGGACTGGAAAAGTTTCACTTTGCAGATCCAGTCGTTAAGCGCCAGGCCTGAGCCGCTCGGTTTTCTCTGGGCCCTGAAGCAGGGCAAGGAGTCTGCATCTTTCTTTTCAGCGTCTCCAGAGTTGATTCCCCCGGCTGAACGAACGCTGCTTGTCACGAAAAGGGATGGCGGAGTTGTCGGGTTTCAGACCTGAGGCTCGTGAAATCCGTTTACTTATTACATATTTGTTATTGGTAGTTGGTGCTGAACGAAAGAGAGCCGAATTGGGCCCGGGGTGGGGGGAGGCACTGAGCTTAGAAGCACGTTGTCGAAGTGTTTTTTTACGTTTGGTCGTTCAATTCCCTTTCTTGCGCACATTGCTATACCTCATACTGACAGTATGCATTGCGTAGTTACCAACCTCCGGGTGGAACCTGGAGTTCTCCCAGAATTATAACTGATCTCCAAACTACAGGCATCACAGTTGTTCCGGGGGAAATGGCACTTTCCGAAGTTGGACTCAATGACATCACATCGCTGAGATCCCTCTTTCCCCCAAACTCCGCCCTCTTCAGGAACTGCCGATCTAAAGAGTGTCATAAACCAGAGTTAGCAATGTGGATAGCGTACTGATTGAAACACTGAGCTGTGGAGGGAAAGGCCCCTGTCTCAAGTGTGAACTCATGGTGGGTTTAGGCAAACTACTTTCTCTCATCTTTCATTTCACATATGCAGTATGGGAATATTACTGGTCTAGTTCATAGGATGCTTATAAGGGTAACGGGAACTGAGTACTTTGAACACTGAAAGCATGAAACGCTAAGTATTGTCAGGGCTCTAGTCGGGGGGAGCTCTCAGGTACGGAGCTCCGGAAGAGAACCTCTAGGGGGCGGGGCGGTCACGTGGTGAAGCCCCGCCCCCTTCTTTACCCCGCCCTCTGCTTCGATCCTCATTCCGTTTGGGAATGAGGATGAAGCAGGAGGGTAAGTAGCCGGGCCTTCTGACACACTTCCGGTGATGTCAGGGGGCGTGGCCTTCTGTCACTTCCGGTGATGTCAGGGGGCGTGGCATATGCAAATAAGTTATGCTAATGAGTTATGCTAATGAGCTCCGGCAGCTCTTTTTCTACAGCGACCCCTGAGTATTGTTGTCCAGTAGTCTGTACCCTTCACTTAGTGTTTCTAATCATGTGCCTCTGTTCTCTCACTACACACAGCCTACCATAAACAACTTTCAGGTCTAAGTGTCTGGGCTGTGAAGGTGGCAATTTATGCACTTCCCTCTCCTTATTCTTAGAAATTAATGCTCAGCAGATTTAGATTGGTTGATTAAAATCTTTTAAGCCATCAAAAAAGCATTCCCCCATTAATCAGGCAGAACATATTGTTTTTAAAAAACACTTCATTATTTTTAACGGAAGAACCTTGCTAGCTGGCAAGCACCCTCCTAGAATAGACTGTTCTTTTATGTATGAGAACTTGCCTGTTTTAAAATGTACACAGTCACTGCAACACATACTTGCATCCTATAAACCAAGAAGAGTGGAGGTTTGCTCAAAAATGTGGTTTCCTTCAGATGCGAGTGCATGTAGATTTCATTAAGTGCGTAACAAACATAACAGGAAAGAAATGTTGCTTGATGGCTCGGGAGAGTTCTCGAAAAGGCTTGTGTGCTCTTGTAAAAACAAGTTTAGGAAGTGTGACCTACTTTACGGAGAAGCAACAACTAGCAAGGTGTTATCTCTTTCTTTCCCCTCCTTTGGCCATTTAACTGAAGGGCAGTATCTGATTCAACATACAGAAATAGCATGGTTGCATACCTGAATGAACATGCATCTTGGTTTATGGTTTGTAATCCACGTTAAACCTCAGTGAGAAAGGAAGATTATAATTAATGTTAGATCGCCGCTAACAAAGATCCGGAGAGTGATTTCAACAACAGTGATCAGCTTTATTGTAGGTATGAACAAGCACTTGAAAGAAGTCATAACCAGAACAGATTAACATAGGCTCCTTTTAAACATTCCCCGGCTAATGTAGCCACGCCTATTTACACTAATCAACCAATGAGGTTGTGCAGATAACGTCCAATGAGAGTTCTTCCCTCACAGGGAATAGTGCAGTTCTGATTGGTCGCTGATGTGGAGCGACCAATAGTAAGTTAGTTCGGAGGAGCCTTTGTCTGGCTCGAAGCTTAACATGTAGAGTGAATGCGGCGATTCACGTAAGCCTTTTGAATACACCACAATTAACACCCATAAATATGAAAAGAAACCACCAACAGCTAGAAAGCTAGCTTGTCAGAGCAAATGCTTACTTAGAAGTTCAGTGGTGCTTACTCCCAAGTACGTGTGTGCAGGATTACACCCTTAATCAAGTTTAAAAGTAAAGGTTTCCCTTGCTCAAAAGCCAGTAGAATCCGACTCTAGGGTTGTGGTGCTCATCTCCATTTCCAAGCTGAAGAGCCAGCACTGTCCGAAGACGTTTCCATGGTCATATAGCCGGCATGACTAAACGCCAAGGTGCATGGAACGCTGTTAGAGAATAAACTTTATATTTGCTTTATGAACTATTTATTGCTACACACAATGGACTGTGCACACTCACATAGGCTCAGAAAGCTGTACACTTGAAGTCACCTGTTGTGATGCCACACATAGAAGGTGCCTGCACATACCTTACATGTAAATAAGGTTTCAGCTACACAGTTGCCCAGCCTGGTGAAGAAGCACAAACCTCCATTATTGTGAGCAATGGAACAACAACCCCAGGAGGAAACAGCCCCCATGACAGAGCTACTTGTAGTCATGTACTACCCATCGTCTGCTTTGTTCCTGAGCTGGCATTTCCTGCAAAATGGACATTTGGTTATCAAAGAGACTGGCCTGCTTCATCAACACTACAATGGAGCATCCTGACGCCTAGGTTTCACACCTGTCCAGATGCCATACTCTGAGTAAGGTTTTAGGTTACAATATTGGCCAACCCTTCAGGTAACCTCCCCTTCCGACATGCAACCAATAGGATTGTTTTTGGGATGGACTAACAGGTGGGTCAAGAGGTTGGCACAGTTACCACCCATCTCTTGGACCCCCTATAAAAGGGAAGGACCATTCACCTGGCCCTTCCTAGCTAGCAATCCCTGCATCAACCCCTATCTGCTTTTTCCCCCCTTGAGCCCCACTTGCTATCCCCAACCCTTGCCTCTACTTTGATCTCTTGATCTGCGGTCAAGAAACCCCCTCACAGTCCGGCTAGTTCTGGTAGTGTGGATCCTTTTGTTTTCCATTTCTTCCCCTCCATTCTTCATTGGAACAACCAAGCTGCAAGACAGATAAGTATCGCCCACATCACCCCTACCTGCTAATGCAAAAGTGCTTATTTCTTACTGTAAATCTTAGAAACTTGATTGAATGTGTGAGTGCATCAGTATTGTTTGTATGAGATATATTTTTAAGTAAAAGACATCTATTTTAACCACAACAGCCTCGAATCCTTTACTGGTGACCCTTGGTGGGAACAGGACCTTGGTATAAACTGGCAAGAACCCATTTGTAAATTGCCAATTGCTGTAAATCAATTCGGCTAGGAACGCTGTTACCTTTCCACCAAAGTGGTACCTATTTATCTACTTGCAATTTCTTGCTTTCGAACTGCTAGGTTGGCAGGAGCTGGAACCAGAGATGGGAGCTCACTCCGTCATGCGGCACTTGGGTCTCGAACTGCTGAACTACCGACCTTCCAGCCTGCAGTTCAGTGTCTTAACCTTAAATCCTAAAGGGATTAAGCCTAAAGGTCTACTCAGATGTATGTCCCATGTTTTTCAATTCCCAGGAAAGTGTTTTTAGGATTACAGCCAAAGATGCATGCCTGACAACACTTGACTTTTCTGAGAAATGGCAACATGCTGCTCTGAAGGCTTTATGGCTGCCAGCTGTTCCTTTGTTTCCTGTCAGAGATGCTGTGATATAACAGTTATGTAAGGTATGATTTTGAATTTATTGGACAGTATAAGCTTCTGAGTCACTGTGGGTGGATGCACTGTTTTTGCTCCTCCTCATGATTAGTAAAGCCAAAATAAAAGATTTGTAAAATTACAAAATATAAACAGGAATATATATTATATTCTTTCTAAATTGCATGATTTGTTGACAGTGCTTCTCAGTAAAGAGTTTTCATGTATGATGTGTGGTTGGACATGAAACTGTTAGTGTCTTAATTGCTATATGTAGAAACTTGGAATTTGTAAGTATGTGTTGTATGTAATGTTTATTTTCTTTATAAAAACAATAAAATGTTTTTTTTTAAAAGTAAAGAGTTTTCATTTATGTAGCAGTATTGGAAAACATACTGTCCAAGTTATGGAAGCAATTCTAAGGAGATCTACTCAAAAGTAGGTCCCATTTTATTCAACAGCTCTTATTCTTGGGAAACTTCTCAATATGGGAACCAGTTTGGTGTAGTGGTTAAGTGTGTGGACTCTAATCTGAGAGAACCGGGTTTGATTCCCCACTCCTCCACTTGCACCTGCTGGATGACCTTGGGTAAGCCATAGTTCTGGCACAGCTGTTCTTGAAAAAGAGCAGTTTCTGTCAAAGCTCTCTCAGCCCCACCTACCTCACAGGGTGTTTGTTGTGGGGAGGGGGAGGGGAAGGAGTTTGTAAACCGCTCTGAGACTCTGGGTAGTGAATGGCAGGGTATAAATCCAATCTTCTTCTTCCTCTCTATTGTGTTTCCCACCTTAAAGCTGCAATCCTGAGCATAATTTTGGGAGTATCTGTCAATGGTCCTTTATGCTTGGTAGGTATGCAAAGATAGCATTACACAAGCATGTTCTGTCAATGTCATAGACTTTTGCAGAGGCAAAGATTTATATCACACACTTGTTTTTCTGTTGTCCCACCCCTTCTGTCTCATATATCTCATTTATTTAGATTGTACACCTTTGGGCAGATAGTAGTAATTGCTTTATAATTTTCTGTAATATAGAGGATTAAAAAGTGCTCAATAAAATATATGCGTATTATATCATAATAATATGCTTTTAGTGAAGTTTTAACTGGTATCTTGAAACTAAGTAAGGTAAAGGTAAAGGTTTCCCTTGCTTGAAAGCCAGTTGAATCCAACTCTAGTGGGCGGTGCTTATCTCTGTTTCCAAGCCGAAGAGCCAGCGCTGTCCGAAGATGCCAAAGCGCACGGAACACTGTTACCATCCCACCGAAGTGGTACCTATTTATCTACTTGCAATTTTCTTGCTTTTGAACTGCTAGGTTGGCAGGAGCTGGGGCCAGAGTCGGGAGCTCACTCCATCACGTGGCACTAAGGCCTCGAACTGCCAAATTACCAGCCTTCCAGCCTGCAGTTCAGCATCTTAATCACTGAGCCACCACGGCCCTTCTGAAACTAAGTACATTTACCTAAATATAAGATTTGGAAGTCAGTTTGACTGATTTCATTGCTTTCCAGTGTGAGCATTTGAGAGATCCCAATCTTAAAATATATTCTTCCAACAATTATAGCACTGGTGACCCCCTGCCCCCCAGAATAATCTGGTTTAAAAAAATAACCATCTCAGTGACATTAGATTCAGGAGAGTAGCTGTGTTGGTCTGAAACAATAGAACAAAGTTTGAGTCCCGTGGCACTTTTAAGACTTAACAAAGTTTAATTCTGGGTATAATTTGTGTACATGCACACATCTTTGGATTGACATTGTCAAGGTTTCATGGTTTATGTTAACAAAATTGTATTTTGGCATGCAGTACAACATTGTCATGCAATTGAACTTAAATTCTGTGTTCTGCAAAAGAAAAGAAAGTTTTTAAAATCATGTATGTTGAACTGGCATTACCAAAATAACACTCTAGTTTATTTATTTATTTTATTGTATTGGACTTATATCCCGCCCTCCCCGCAAGCAGGCTCATGGCGAGTTCCATCAATATTAATACAGTATACAATACAGTTTTAAAAGTTGGTTATACAGATAGATTTCTTCAAGTTCAAGTTAGCATGTACAGGAGATTAAGAAACAAGAACACATAAAGGAATGAAATTATAAGCAAGCATTTCTGTTCTCATAAAAAGACAATTCAGAACCGCTGGAACTTAACCCAGACTAAATTTCTTTTCATGAGCATTTGACGTTCCTGTTACAAAATGGTCTTGTTCTTCTAAGCAATAATGCATCCTCCTTTTTCTTTAAAAGGATTCTTGTCTTCAGGAATACCTTTCACAAGAGGGTCTTCTCCAGATCTTTCTTCAATATAATTTTTAATTTCTTCTGAACATTTAGAAACCTTAAGAGGGGGGAAAGCACATCTGGTTTGTATATGCAGGGATAACATGTTCCACTGGAAGAAGGCAACATAGAATTTTCCAATGTTAAAACATAAATTGTCTGTACCCAAGCTGTTTTGGCTGCCATGTTTCATGAAAGTACCAGAAGCAATACACACATGTATGCACTCCTTGCTGTGCAGCCATGAAACAGCCAAAATTTATTTACATGTGAGAACACACTTTAAATAGTAGGAACTTGCTAGATCATACTTTTTGCTGTGCAAAGTAGAAGAGTTGGATTTATATTCCACCCTTCACTCAGAGTCTCAGAGCGGCTTATAACCACCTTTCCTTCCTCTCTGCACAACAGACACCCTGTGAGGTAGGTGGGGCTGAGATAGTTCTGAGAGAACTGCTCTTGAGAGAACAGCTCCGAGAAAACTGTGACTGGTCAAAGGTCACCCAACTGGCTTTACATGGAGGAGTGGGGAATCAAACCCAGTTCTCCACATTAGAGTCCGCCACTCTTAACCACGACACCAAACTGGCAAACTGTTCACATGTTTCTCAAACAATGCCTTTGTTGTGGGAATATATCATTTTTACACATACAATGAAAAGAGGCTCTGAGCTGGCTAGCCCAGGCTAGCCTGATCTCATCAGGCCTCAGAAGCTAAGCAGGGTTGGCCCTGGCTAGTATTTAGATGGGAGACCTCCAAGGAATACCAGGGCTGTGACATGAAGGCAGGCAATGGCAAACCACCTCCGAACATCTCTTGCCTTGAAAACCCTACAGAGTTACCATAAGTCAGCTGTGACTTGACAGCACCTTCCACCACAAATGAAAAGGGTCACGTATCATGGCACATGGAGTGGTGTAGTCATTGCTTTGTTCTTCAAGTGACACAGGCATCTCAGTGTTCCAAATTGGTGATGTGACAGTCCTGCTACACACCATCCCATCTAATGAACTTTACAAAATTGTAGTTTGTTTTACTCCTCTGAAGGCTGCACACCAGATCTGTCAGGAAACACAGGCTGTCCAGATTTCTAAAAACAATCCAACAGTCAAACAACAAATGCACCGTATTGTGTACATATGGAAACATTTTATCGCAGCGCTGAAAATTCCAACGGGTGCCCATTTTCCCTCCTGAGTCATCAGACTGTTTATTTCCTCCGAGCTGTACCACAGCAATAAAAGGTTCCAAATGTAGCCCTTTGCAGCATACCCCGCAATTAGCCTGTTCACGCTTCTCTCTTTTCTTGGAATTATAGGCTTTCCATTTTTCCTCAGGCTATGCCATCAAGTCTACAGCTGATGTCAATAGCCATTTCCTCTCAGGAGTGGTTCCCAAACTGCATGCTTCTGTTGGGTGGGGAAGTTAAGAGGGGTGGGCGGAGATAACACCAAACACTTGGATGTGTGAGGACAATTCATATGGCCTCCCCACCACCACCACCACCACCACCACCCAGGGCTATAGAAGTTATAATAAGTTAAATAACAGATAGTCTGCCTAATGGTTAGGATGGTGGGGCTTAGCAGCATTACTAGCAACAGTATGAGACTATGCGGAGTTATTCCAGTCTAAACCCATTGATTTCAAGCTGGGGTAACTCTCCACTGCCCTGCACTGCAAGAGATTGAGGAACAGGAGGAGGAGTTAGACTATAGTAAGGAGAAAGTGCCTGGGCTGTTTTGTTGGAGGGCAGAGCCTGGTCCTTCCGGCAGGATCACTGAACAAAGTCTGCTGAGTCTTCCTATTTCATTTACTTAAATTTTCCTATTGCATTTTCCCTTATTTTACCACTAAAACTAAGAATTGGCAGAAATCAAGCAAAAGGGGGGACGTGGATAATGTAGTGTGTGTGGAAATTAATCCTTTCTGCATTTTTCCAAAACTCCCCTCCGCAACTTCTGGACTCTAATGAGGTAGTCATTAGAGAGCAACTCTGCTGTGGTCACTTTCCACAACAGAACATACTTGAAGTCTTTATCCCCTTCTTTTTACCTATCCAAAGGGAGACGTTTTTTGTTTGTTTTTTAGAGCCAGTCTAGAAAGTCAAAAGTAGCTTCTGCAGTCTCCCCAAGAAACTCCGGGGCTGGGTGGGTTTGCAGGAGGGGGTGGCTTGGGATGAAGGGAAATGGTGCTAAAACAAACCTCCTTTCAGGCAAATCACTCTGAATTGCCAAAGGTACCAGATTTGTTTACAACATCCCGAACTCTCCTTTCAACACACGCCTCTTCTCTTTCCCCCTTCTATCCTCCAAAAGCCCAGCAGAGACTGATCTGCCAGGGAAACAGGAGCTACTCCAAATACTCCTTCCGAAATCTAGGGGAAAGCGTCGCCAGGTATGCACTCACCGGTTGTCTTTGCAACTTTGCTTCTTTCCGGAGCTGTTCCACTTCCATTTTCAGTTTGTCCTTCTCACTCAGATCCTCTATATTAATCGCTGGCATCGCTGGCTGACACACACAGAGGCATTACAGTGGGTTGAGGAATGCAGCTGGCTGTGTAAGAAACCCCCCTCCCCACCTCCCTCTCTTCCCTCCACCCCAAAATCCTTACTTTTGTTGTGAGTGCCTCCTGATTTCCTGAAATGGTAGCGGACTCTCCAGCCAACTCTCTTTCCAGACTCCTTGTAATGAGTTACAGGATTTTAATTCATCAGCAGAATCTGTCCTAAGCTGATTAAACCGCACCGTTTGACCTCTCTCCTTCCACTGTCTCAAGCAGACCTTGCCATTACACGTGCTTGGAAAACCATCCTCTTCTGTCTCCACGGCACTCCAAAAGTTTTCAGACCTTCCTAAAGTACAACCATAAGAATCAGGGTTGCTGTTTTTGTACTACAGAGAACAGGGGATGGTCACAAGTAAAGATGCTGGGGAGCATCATTGATCAGTCCAGTGAAATCCTGGAGTTGTTGATCTGGGATTAGTACACCTATAGGCAAAAAAAATCCTCACTATCATCTCCAGCGTACTTGAACAGAGCTAGCAGTGCGTGGACTGAGGGGAGGGGGGAATGGATGGAGGAAAACTCTTAGAGACAGGATGCCGGCTTGTAACTTTCCCAACAATGGGAAAGCTAACCATTCGGAGTGGTCAAGAGGAAACAGGTTTGCTAAGGAAATGTCTGGCCCTTCTCTGTGCCAGGTTGGAGAGGCCAAACAATAGGCAGGCTTGGAGGAGGGTCGGAGAGTGGTTGTTGGGTTTTTGTGTGTGTGTTTTTTTTTAAAGCATCTATAAAGACTGTTAGGGCTGACTTTCTCCCAAAGGAGAGAAGGAACACCCTGGCAACTGCTTATTTATGCATCAGTTCTTTCAACATTTATATGAATATTGATTTGTCTTGATCCATGCAGTGAGCACATACTGAGTGAGACCGTTAGTTTACAGAGGTCAGTCAGTATTGTCTACTCATGACCAACAGCAACTCTCTAGGGTCTCAAAAAAAGTTATTTCACATACTCCTTGATCCTTTTTACCAGAGGCACTAGGGACTGGGACCTTCTGCATGCAAGGCAGATGCTCTACCACTGAGCCACTGCCTCTCCCCTTTTTGCCTATTTTTTTAAAAAGTTTCTTTTTGTATGTTTAAATGGTGACAATTGGCATGACATGTCAGAAATTATGCATTTAAATCATTTGCAAACTCCTTTTGAGCAATCATACCTGGGCTTTTGCTCCCCAACTCATCCGCCCAACTGTCTTATAGCATCTCACTTCATTGGACCACCCAGCTCAGTCCTGTCTTCTTTGTCTGGCAAGGAGTGATTCCCCCTCCCCCAGTTTTGCCCTATGAGAAGCAGCAGCACTGAAATCTGTTTCCTACAGTCCAGGTCGATTTTTGAAGTTGTGACATTGCACCTAAAGCTACACATTAGCATTGAACTTGATGTTGCATACCCAAGTAAAGTGCAAGTTGCAGATCAGCACTGATCATTTGTAAAATCTGGTACAACAAATGCCTTTCCAAGAGCTTCCAGTGGGGTTTGATTTTCATTTGGGATCCTCATTCATTCGTTCCCTCTCATTTTATAACACACGGTAAGGTTTGATTTTCATTTGGGATCCTCATTCATTCGTTCCCTCTCATTTTATAACACACGGTCATCCTTCCCATCCCCTCATAGATTCATATGGATCAGGAGCTGATCAGGTCTCTTGACTTCCTCTGCAATAGTGCATAACAAATCCTAACACAATAGTGATATTTAATAATACTGAGCAGTGATAATACTTTCCATTGTATGTTGTTGCACTTAAGTACACTTGGGGAGGGGGCAGGGCTCAGTGGCAGAGCATCTGCTTGGTGTGCAGAAGATCCCAGGTTCAATCCCTGGCATCTCCAATTAAAGGATCTGGCAGTAGGTGATATGAAAGACCTTTGCCTGAGACCCTGGAGAACTGCTGCCTCCAGTCTGAGTAGTCCATACTGACTTTGATGGACCAAGGGTCTGTATAAGTATAAGGCAGCTTCGTGTGTTCATGTGTTCGATATTGTCTAGCCTGCCAGCTGAGGTCCTCTTCTCAAGCTCTGCTCTCTGCACTTCAGCCTACAGAGACAAGGCAGGAAGCCACCAGGGAGGGCCTTTTCAGTGGTAACACCCTCCCCTGGAGCCTTGTCTGGTGCTTACTTTACTTTTCTTCTGAATGCCATTCCAAAACGCTTCTTTACACCCATACTTCGAACTTTTTAAATGGTTTTCTCGTCTGCTGATAGCCTGAGGACTCTTTTATCAGTATCATTTTAGACGGCTCCATTTTATCATTTTAGATTGCTCAGGCTTTTGTTAGTTGATTTCTATTGGTGTTTTTATTGACTTGTCTTATTTTTTTCCTACTTGGATAGTTTTGTTTTTTGTTTTACTGGTATGATTTGTTTTTATTGCATTTATTACTGTTCATTTGGTTTTGTTCTAATTGTTTTCAGAGTGAACCGCCTTGAGCAGGTGTGAAGAATCATGGAATCATAGAGTTGGAAGGGACCTCCAGGGTCATCTAGTCCAGCCCCCTGCACAATGCAGGAAATTCACAAATACCTCCCCCTCCACACCCATAGTGACTGCTGTTCCATGCCCAGAAGATGACAAGAAACCTCCAGGATTGCTTCCTGACCCCAAAGTGGCAATCAGCAGTTCCGTGGACATGTAAAAAAGGGCCACAAGAACTAAGCAATGAGGCAACCCATCCTGCCCTGCCTCTCATTATCTGCCTAAGTTCACAGAATCCACATTGCTGTCAGATGGCCATCTAGCCTCTGAAAACCTCCAAAGAAGGAGAGCCCACCACTTCCCGAGGAAGCCTTTTCCACTGAGGAACCG